AGCTGTGTGAGCACAGGGGACCATGGGCATCTAGGCGGCAGGGCCCTGCGGAAATATCCCCTCACAGCTGCTTCAATCACAAGGTCATGGCCCTGGGTCACACAAGCTGTGCACTGAGCCAGCATCCGGGGCAGGCCAGGTGGCCCTGCTGGGCTCTCCCTGCCAGCTGGTTTGGGTGGCTCTCTGAGGGTCCTGCTTCTGAGGCCGGCCATGCACCTGAAGGTTCCGGTACCCAGAGCAGCTGCCCAGCAGGGCAGTGGCCATCTCACCCCTCCCAGCAGCGACTTCTCATGGGACTTCTGTGTTTATTTTCACCCTGAACCACAGAGAGACTTGGGCGCAAAGGGCCTGCCCGGAGCCAGCAGGGGAGGAGGTGCCAGAGAAACACCCGACTCCGCCCGCGAGCCGGACGACAGTGTTCCCATTCTCCATGAAGCCGCCCCCCTCATCGGCCCTTCCTTCTGCCCTCCTCTGGGGCGTCCCTGGCCCCAGCTTCCTCCCACTCCAACTATCACAGTTGTAGGTGGGTGGACGGGGCGGGCCACCTCCTGGCTTTGCTTGAAGCGAGGGGCATCTGTGCACAGCCAGCCTCTGCAAGCGGACCTCTGGGCTCCTAGTCACAATCCTCCCACCCACTTTGGAAGGTCCTGAGCATCGGAGCAGACCCTCAGAGGGAGAAGTCCCGGATGCGCCGTGGTGGGCGGGAGAGCCCCACGAGGGCCCTGAAATGACTCCCCACCCCGTCCGCCCCCTGTAATTGCTTCCTTCCCTCCGCGCTGCTCAGCACGGGGGCGGCAGGGCTTGCTCGTTCCTTTGTGACCGGCTTCCTTCTTTTGTCCCCCATCAGATAGGGACATTCCCAGGGGTGTGGGCTGTCTGCCTGGCAGATGGGCTGGGGCAGGGGGGTAGGGTGCTGTGGTCAGCCCCGAAGCTTTCTGTCACTTTGGCCCCTTCTGGCCATCAGTGTGGTCTGAGAAGAAGAGAGTCCACTTCTCAGAGCATTCTGGCCCCGGGAGCAGGCGGTGACCACAGGACTCCATCCCAGAACACTTGTCCGGCCAGCTCGCCTGGTCGCCTGGAACCGTGGCAGAGTGGGGCTTGGGTCTGGCGCCTCCCCGGGCTCTGTGCCCACCTCCAATCTGCTTCTCTTTGGCAATGGGGAGGAGCCCCAGGCCTGGCAACTGGGTCATTTCCCAGGACCCAAGTCTCCTTCCCAGGGCTGGCACACCCTGTCCTGCCCCTTAGGGGTTCAGGGAGGCGGAGTGCTTGTCACTCTCCCTCGCTTGGCTAAGCGAGGGGACAGAATTAGCTCTCCACTCTCACTCTCAAAGCTCTCCGAGCAGCCAGACCATCTCGGGGAGGGACCAGGATGGGCCTCCTGGGAACCTGCCCAAGGCTTTTTCCCTGGTTCCTCTGGGAATGGATCCAGAAAAAGACTAAAAGTGTCCAAGTAGAGAGGGTGGGGGTAGGGTGGGACCAGGCCCTGCCCAGCAGTCAGGAGAAGCCCCTGGGGCCCTGGGAAGCCACAAGGTCCCACTGCAGCCAAGACTGCGATTCTGCTCTCAGTGGGCCCTAAGCAGGGCCAGCTGGGCCAGTGTCCTCTCAGACCCCTGGGGTCCTCTCTGCGTTTCCGGCCTGCAGGCCAAGTGCAACTTCATGGAAACCTCAGGAGTCAGATCCTCCCCAGAAGGCAGGCCTGGGGCCGGGCTGTGAGCAGAGACCCACGTGCCGCTCAGGAAAGTCGTCTTAGCTGAAAGGGTCCCCACTTCCTCCTGCTCTTCCAGCCCTGCTCCCTGAGATGGGTCTGCCCCCAGCCTGTCTCCTCTGAGAGCCAGCGACAGGCACCTGGGCTGTGCTGCTGGGAAAGCAGTGGGGCAGGGAGAGCCCAGGGCACCCACTATATTGTCCAAACATCGAAGTTGGGGGATGCGTGTGGCTGTGGACACTCCAGGTCCCACCTCACCAGGCTGGCAAGGGTGCCAGGAGGACCCCTGTAGCAGCTTTCTCCTCTGTCTCCCATACTTTCATGAGACATGTCCTCAAGGACCAAAATGAAGGTGATGCAGTCAGCGAGGGGGCTTGTGGGTCGGGGAGAGCCTGGTTCAAATTCTGACTGTTGCCCACCAGCCACACAAACCTGGGCATGCAATTCCCCTGGGCTGAGCCTGTTTCCTCACCTGCAAATGGTCTTTCTAATACTCCCCCCCCACACACCAAGGTCAGAGCCTCTTCAGCCCTCGGCTCAGCACCTTGTGTGGCCACCGAGAGGCCACAACGTGGTCCCAGCGCAGTGTCATCTGCCTCCTCCATCCTCTGACTACAGCTCAATTTCGCCTTGTGTTCTCACGGCCATCTCCGGCTGTGGGGCAGATTGTAGGTTAGTGAGAACCTCTGCCACTCCATGGGGACTGGATGCCAGCTGCCGCCGTGGCAGGCTTGTCCACGTGACCTGCTCCGGCCACTGAAATGGGAGCAGAAGTGACTTGCGTTGCTGCTGGTCAGAAACTGTCAGAGCCAGTGTGCAGGGGCGTCTGCTGCTTCCACGAGAGGGCATTGTCCATGCCCACGGAGGCACCTCTGTCGCCTGGGGCCCCTGAGTGGAGATGATGCAGAGCAGAGCTGTAGCCACCCTCCAAGGGCAGGTGGCGTGAGACCCGGGGTCACATCCTGGCTGATGACACACGTGGCTGCTGGAGGTCCTTACAAGGGTCCCGAGAGCTGCTTTCCGTCCTCGGCTGCTGCTGGGGGCAGCGGGCAATCATCAGTGAAATGCTTCGCCTCGGGACGTGGCGGTCTCAGCAGGCACTCAGTAGACAGTGGGTGTAATCAGGGCCTGGCATATCTGCCCACAGGCCAGCCTGACCGCCATCCAGGCTGCGAGACCAATCTTCTAATGCGAGTGGTGCACACGGGAAGGCTTTATGCGCTCCTCAGGAAGTTCCTCCTCGAATTTGTGGCCGGTGGCCTTCTCCTCACTGCCTGCCCCCTCCCTGGACCCCTCTATCCTTACAAGAGCTGTGTAGACGGAGGCTACTTAGGTGAGATTCCATCGCCACCTGTCCCCTGCGCCCAAGGTCAGGTTTATTAAGCTGCTGCAGGAGGGGCATACACATGCCAGAGGAATCAGGGGCCATCTCCTGGGCTGTAATTTTTCCCACCGACTGGGCCGTGTCAATCCCTCTGCCGCTCCAGACCTCCCCCCTTTGTTAGTTCACTTCTATCCCCTGCAATCCAGTCTGGCGCAGGGCCCAGAGCACCCCCCTAGCACTGGCCTTTGGTGCTGGTGGTCTTCACAGTTGTGGCTTCTCAGCAACATTGCCCTCCTAGCACCCAGGACATGCCAGGTAGACACTGGTGCTCCATAGAAACTGGTTCTGCTCTCCCGAGCTGGTGGCTTCGTGGCTGGTGGGGCTGTGGCAGGGCAGAGGGCCGCTATCTGCAGCCCAGTTCAAGGCTACTCAGGGAAGCAGGTGGGGAGGCAAAGTGCCCCCTAACCCATGGCTGCTGGGAGGGGCCTGGCAGAATCGGTGAGGACCATGTGTACCCAGGCCTGGGCTCTGCTCTGCCCCCTGCACACTCATTTCATTCCTGCCAGCTGGGGACCCCACACAGACCAGCTCTCTCTCAAAGGATGGGGTTTTGTGGTTGGGACTGGTCCCCTCCCTACTGCCCACCAAGGACCAGGGGCCAAGGATGTCAATAAAGGAACTCGCAAAAGCCATCGCTCTTTATTTTTCATTCCTGCCGTTCAACCAGTTTGCAGAAGCTGAGGATGAGTGGATTTTGGAGGCAAAGGAGGAACATCTGGGCACAGACCCTCCCAAAATAGTCTTTGTGCACTGCTGAGGCTGGTTAGACTTGAGAAGCAATTTAACAATAAACTCTACGGAATTAGAAATGTACAAAAGTGTCAAGGCGGCCGCTGGCTGGTTTCTTGCCTCCCCATGGGGGTCAGAGTTACACCCATCAGTCCTGTGCAAAGGTCCTGGGGCTGGCCCGGGGGGAGGGGGCAGCTGGATTCTTCCCCGGGAGAGGAGCAGTCCTGCTCACCCAGCAGAAGTGTGCCAAGGGGCAGGCACGTGGGCGTGTGCCCAGCTGCCGTGGCCCCTGCAGGCTTTCAAGCGTGTCCACATCCTGCCGTTATGTCCGCCCTTTGAAAGTGTTCATGCAGGTATAGGTTCCTGAGAATCTGTGGATCTCCTCAAGGGCAGCCTGTGGGAGGATGCTGGGGTGGCCGGAGACAAGAAAAAAGATGGTCAGTGGGTGGGGGACCAGCAACTGGGTCACTAGTGGCCACACAAGATGGTGTAGTACAGAGATGCCTACAAACTCTCCCCACCCCTCTCACAAGCCCCCAAGCCACCCCCG